AAAAAATTATATTATTAAACCAAATATAAATTACTTCGTTGTTGTACATAAATTAAATTATAAAAAAATTGAATTAAAAAATTACACAAAAAAATGAGGAATTTCAAATAGTTAATTTAATACTAATATCGATATATTTTTGTCAAATTTTGATAATATCTTCAAACATATATTTTATTCAACAATAAAAACATTATCGCTTTCTCAAAATCACATAAAGTCATATTATAACATCGACTGAGATAAAAAATAAAATAAAATATTAAAATTACGATGTATCTCGTTGCTTTGCGCGAGTAAGCTTCTAGTATTATAAAACGTTCGACAAAAAACTCTTAAAAATCATTTTTTTATACATAAAGTACTGTATATTGATGCATATTATTTAAAATTCAAGATTACAAGTAAATTATGCATAAGTACAACTTATTAAAACTTAATGTTTGAATTCGTGTAACTAACTGCGGATAAACATAATCAAATAGAGGATAAACATCTTATTTAAATATAAAAAATTCAAAACATAATTAAGATAATCATTAAATTCTAACATAATACTTAATTATTATTTTTAAATAAATTATTTTATTAAATAAAAAATAAATTAGTTCATTTTTAAATTTCAATTAAATTATAATAAAGAATTTGAATTAAAGAAGTTACACAAAAACAAAAACTTTTAAATAGTTAATTTGATACTAATATTGCTTATTTTTTTCAAAATTTTATAATATCTTCAAATTTAGATTTCACTCAAAAATAAAAAGATTTTTTTTCTCAAAACCACATAAAGTCACATTATAACATCGATAGACCCATTATATAAAATGAAACAATAAAATCAAGATGTATCTCGATGTATTACACAAGTACCCTTTTAGTTATTATTAATAATAAAATTATCATTTAATTACTTAAAACGTGTAATAATTATACAATATATCATTTTTATTATAAACATTTATTTTGATAAATAATAATTTCAAATCATGATTCAGTTATGTTCCAAAATATTTAATCAAATTTATTATATATATTTATAAAATTTTGTGGAAAAACCATCGTTACAGGCTGAAATAGATATACAACAATAAATGCATAGGGATTGACCATCGAAGGATCGGTCAACCAAAGCACTGGTCGCCGGGAACCGGAACCGGACCAGGCAGCGAACCCTGTTGATAAAATTGCAACCCAAACACCACCAAGATCGCCACCAACGACAAGTACGACAATCCTTCAACAGCACCCAACAACCCAAACGGTCCATTTGGTAGACCCGACCCGGTTTTCGATTTCGTATACAAAGACCAACCCACAATCCCCACCACCGCCAAGTAGCTCACACCTTCCAACGCACCGATGGATCCGGCAGGCCCAGGCGGAAGGCCGCAGCCGCTGGTCTTCAGGGTGTAGAGAGACCACCCAATGACTGGTGTGGCGATTAAACCACCGGCAATTGCCAGTTTCTCGGCAATCCCATTAGTGGAAACTTCTTCGCCGGTTTGTTTGGCCATGGATTTGACGTTGAGGCGGCGATGGGAGGAGCACGACGGTTGATTGTACGGAAAACATCGAGAGATGGATGGTGTTAGAGGGATTGAGGTGGAAGAAGGGGAATGGAGTAACATTTTTGTGAGGTTCATCCTGTCGAGAGAGATAAGATGTGATGAATGGTGGTGGTAAAGGAAATAAATTGGTGCAAGACGATGAAACCGAGCGTTAAGTTAAAGCAAATAAAATAAATTTAATATTTTTTATTTAAATAAAATAGTTGTAATAATCTTTTTAATAATATATGTTAGACAATGCTAAGGGTTGGTAGGGTGTGGGCAGGGCGATGGGTGGGATAGTTCAAACCAAGACGATTGTTCCAATTCTATTGAGAGATTTCATTATGGTTCTTACCAACCAAACGTGTAGTCAAATTCCTTCAGAGTCAAATTTTTTTGATGGATTCCATTTCCATCAAATTCTATTCTGTGAACCAAACAATCCCTAAGAAATACTATGAAATTTTCTATCATTGCTAAAATCACATAATTATTGACAACTGAGGCATCGACATAAAAAAATTTCAATAATACTAACAACCTTTAAAAAATAAAGACCAATATATAATAATAGAGAATTATAGATAAATATTGATTTAATTTCATATATTATAGATAAATATTGATTTAATTTCATTTATTCTATTACTAGGTTCGATCCCGTGTATTATACGGGGTAATTTTAAAAAATTAAATCATGTCAAGAAACTTATCTTACATATATGAATGTTCATCGAAAGTACGATGTTACTTCAGACTTGTGCTCTTGAAATAACTCTGAAATATAACTCTGAAGAATAACTCTGAAAAAGACTCTTCATACTTGAATTTAGAAAAGAAGCTATGTCAATAATTAGTTAAAATGAAGGTAACCCTATAATAAAATTAAATTTAGAAATGGAACTATATCGGTAAATTGAATTTAAACTTAAAAGTAAATTTATAATGACTATTCAGATTTGTACTCTTGAAATAACTCTGAAGAATGACTTCAAACAACTCTGAAGAATGACTTCAAACTTGTAATCTTGAAATAACTTTGAAGTAAAACTCTTCAGACTTCAGAGCTCTGTATAGGCAAACCAGAAGCTATGCATAGTGCTCCGCCTGGAAAATAAGACTTCAAAGTTCAGGTGAGCTAACTATGAATAATGGCTCTTCAGACTTGTACTCTGGAAATAACTCTGAAGTAAAACTCTGAAGAATGAATTTTCAGACTTGTACCCTTGAAATAACTCTGAAATATAAAATCAATCCCACTAATTCAGAGTTTAAACTTTTAAGTCTGAAAAAAAAAGACTTTTAAGTTCGGGTGAGCTAAGTCTGTTAAAAGAAAACTTCAGAATTCAGGTGAGCTAACTCTAAAGAATGACTCCTCAAACTTGTACTCTTCAGACTTGTAGAAGAATTCAGAGTTCAGACTTCTTTTCCTAAGTAAAAAAAAAAAAAAAGACTTCAGAGTTCATATTTCAGAGTTCGGATGAGCCAAGTCTGAAAAGGCAGACTTCAGAGTTCGGATGAGCTAACTCTTTGGAATGACTCTTCAGACTTGTACTATTAAAATAACTCTAAATTGTAACTCTGAATAATGACTTTAGACTTGTACTCTTGAAATAACTTTGCAGTAAAACTCTGAAAAATGACTTTGAAGAATGACTCTGAAGTATAACTCTAAAGAATAACTCTAGAGTATAACTCTGAAGAATAACTCTGTAGAATGACTCTGAAGAATAACTCTGAAGTATAAATCTAAAGAATGACTCTGAAGTATGACTCTGAAAAATAATTCTGAAGAATAAGTCTGAAGTATAACATCATTTTTTTGGGGAATCAGTTACCACATTAATTAATTAACCCAAGAATAAAATCAATTGCATCCTAAATTAGTGGAATTGATTGAATAAGAGGATACATGTCAACCAAATGTGTCTAATTGAACTGCTAATGTAAAGTGTGTCTAGATACGTTCAAATGAATATAATTGAACTGATAATGTAAATTGTGTTCCGATACGTTATTAGGCAGGAAAACAAGATAACCGTCTCACTAAAAGATGACACGTGTCACTCAAGTTACTTATTTATTATATGTATAGATTATTATTGGTTAATTAATTTGAAGGTTTTGCATTTTCATAAATCATGGATATTCACATTCTGTCATTCTGTGTGTGTATATATATAAAATTAATTAATATTATAAGTGCGGATTCTAGTTTTAATAATAAGTTTTAATTTATAAATAAAATTGAATAATAATATTTACATGCAACCTAAAATAGAAAATAAAGTAAGTAAAAGGTACAAGGGATCAATTTTTGTTCCAAATATCGAAATACATCACCACCACTCCACATGCCAGATAAAATAAGACAACAAAATTAAAAACATAATAAAATAAAAAGAGTGTTGTCCTAGCCTAGCCAAGCCGAGCCAGGTTTCATGCATGATGAGTTGATGACCATGTGAGCCGAATCCGCCTGGCATCCAATAAGATCTCAACATCTGTCCATCGTCACTCAGCCAACATTTCCAACCGAGAAGCACCAGAAGTTGCAACTTGACGCAAATCAATACGACACCGATTCAAAACTCACACCCGCCCCATTCCGGACCTCAATCGTGTTTCCAAGTACACACCACATGGATCAACCCAAACCCAGAACCCAGAACCCAAACCCACTCTGAATCCCCATTTTTTGTATTTTGATTCCTTATAAAATTCCATCCTTTTGAAACTTTCCCTCCATTCTTAAGAGGGGATTCAACTGTCATTCAAAATATGCTTCTCTTTTTCCCTCTATCATCAACTGCCATTTGAATCTTCTTGTTATATATATATATAACGTTTAAATCAAACAACTTTACTTCCCAACCCATCATTCCAAAGTGTTGCTTTTTTCCCTCCAAATATCATTCATCATGTTTTCTTCATTAAAAAACAAAGGGTAGTTGTAGTAGTAAAACTCAAACACTAGTTTACAGTTTTTTTCATCAAAAACCATTACCACTTTTCTTCTCTCTCTCTCCCTGCATAACCCCATTTTCATCAAACATGACACCACCCTCCAGCTCCAGCACCAGCTCCAGCACCACCAGCAAACCATTGAATCCTTCCATCTTTTTCCCCCCAATCTTTAGTCGTGCTTTGATGATTTCGGAGGCTGATGATTCTCGTCACCACCATCATCATCGTCATCGTTGTCGTCTCGTTTTCTCTTACTTGAAGAAGATGGAGGGTGCACCCTACCCTCATTCTCTTCATCATCGTCACCATCATCATCTTCTTCTTCATCATTCTCCTCTTCTTCTTCGTCGTCTTCTTCCACTTCAGGACCATCTTCATCCCCAGCTACTCCATCTTCTGCAACTTGGGCAACTGGTTGCACCAGGTACCCTGTACCAACATCCTCTTCTTCCTGCCATCAACAAAATCACACTGAATTCAGAGAAAGATAACATGAAAAACAAAGATTTGCTTCCAAAATTGTATACCATCATCAAATATATACACACACACATACATAGATGTCCATAATTGAGGCAAGACTGCAAATTTAGTTGGATAAAATAGTAGAAAATTTCTTCTCTCAAAGAAAAATCCTCCAAAATAATATCAATAAACCAAATTCTATCAAACAAATTTAACACCAGTGTTCATTGGATTTAATGATTGGAGAAAAAATATATTTCCACTGGCTTCCCCTAGCATTTTGCAAAGATTTTCTTACCATGATTCATACCCATGGGCCACACAAGTAATTGCTCCTAGTCTCGCCCTAAAAAAGTCTAAAAGATTGATATTTTCAGATTGTTATTCCCCTGGCATACAACATTTAGCATACTTGCATTCAGATATTAACATAAACCCACCATAAATTAAGAGTTACAAGGACAAGGAACCAGACATACAGAAATTATACAAAGTAACAGAAATTTTGAAAAGTTGCAAAAATAACTTCAAGAGGTAAAAAACAAACAGAAGGCTCCACCACACTGAGCAGATCTTCACATAGTACATATATCAAGAAACATGTTAACAGAGCAATTTCCTAAAATCCAAAGCATATGTTAACAGAGCAGACTTCGGTCAAGTTCCCAAAATCTATATATATATATATATATATATATATATATATATATATATATATATATATATATGCCATACATCAAGTGAAGTTCTACAACATGCCCTTTCATATTCAAAGAGAAGGAATACAGAAATATTTTAATTCTGTGTGACAGAAAAAATCAATTATGGGTATTTCATTAAAGCATTAACCAGAGATAAAGATAAACATTAAAGTCATATACATGAACCGTTCACAGATATAATCTAGATTTTTTAAGAGTAGCCAATGTAACCAGGCTGAAGAACCATCATTTTCATGGGACAATTTATTACCCGCATCATCAAAAAAACACAGAAAGTTCATGGCCTTGCTCTTGTTCTCACACAACCACTAATTCACCCCCAATACTATCAATGCACACCTCAGGAAAAAAGTCTGCTCAAAACATGATGACCAAGAATAAGGGGGAAGTTTTGAAGTCCTTTGATGCACCAAACTACTACCAAAATGATGAATTGGTCAATCGGACCTCAAAAATTGCTCATAAGTCATAACGTGCACATGAAAATGAGCCTCCTAGTAGATAAAGTCACAATCAGGCAACTAAAATTATGCATTTATGCATGAACAACCAAATATTACCAAGAATTTTTACAAATCAAATTAAAAGCAAACCCAAATTGCAAAAAAAGGTTTAGACATGGTAAAGAAAATATTAAAGCAAAGAAAAGAGATACTACCTCATCCTCAGCCTCTTCATCATCTTCGAAATCTCCTTCTTCAACACCAATTTCCTCTTCTCCAGTCTCCCCATCATCATCCTCATCTCCATCTTCCTCTCCCTGATCATGACCGTCAATCTCACCTTCTGTGCTAGTTATCCACCCAGTACTCCCCGGCTCAGCAAAATCACCTTCGTCATTGTCAACCTCCTCGTCATCATCGTCTTCGTCATCATCTTCAACCCCATCTTCTTCATCATCACTATCCTCAATCTCATGAACCTCAACCACATCCTCCTCATCTTCTCCTTCTTCTTCATCAATCTCATCTGAATCATTATCATCGTCACCATCCTCATCATCATCCTCAACATCAACGGCATGAAAACCATTTGCCTGACCAGCCAGACCGTTAGACCCGTTCCCATTCACCCCTCTCACAATCTCCGCCTCCTCCTCATCTGCATCGCTCTCATCATCTTCATCCACGTCAACCACGCCGTCTTGCCCTATGTTATGCCCATTAGCCAACCTATTTGGCCCCTTCTCCTCACCATCGATCTCCCCACTTCCAGGATCATCCTCTTCCTCCTCTTCATCCTCCTCTTCATCATCATCGTCATCCTCATCATCTGATTCAGGCCGCTCGTTCTCATCAACATCCATCTTATCTAAATACTTTAACGACTTAATCAACCCAAACACCCTGGATCGGTAATCTTTAACCCTCGTAACCGGACACTCATACAGATCAAGAGAAACGAGCCGTAGCTCAGCCAATGGCCTCAAATCGTCTATCTCTTGAATCCGATTATTCGACAAATCCAGGTCCCGTAACGACTCCAGACCAGCCTGAACCAAAAATTCCAAGCCGCCAGCGATCCGATTGTCGGATAAAATCAACTTCTGAAGGTTTTGTAAGCGCGGGAACTGTTCAAGCGATGAAACACCTATATTTGCAATGGATAGGTGTTGTAGGTGAGGGAACTTTTGGAATAGAGATGGGTGCGGTAGACGACCGTGCACGCACTTCACGGCTCCGTCGAGGGTTAACGTCCGCACCGACGCCACATCTGTTTGGCCGTCTAACGCTGTCTCCACCGCCCTCTCCCAGATCTCGTCCATCGGCGGCTCAAATTTAGGTTTCTTATCAACACATGTAAATACCTAACAAAATTGAAATGATAAATTACAAACCCTGACTGACAGATGAGAAGTCCCTAGACCTAATCGGAGAAATCAACAGCAAAAACTGCTTAAACCCTAAATTTTCCCGGTGTCTTTTCTCCCTAAAAATTTTCTGATTGTTCTTCTGTCAATATGATAATGGAGCCCCGAGTAATCACACAATCCTATTGCTTGGGTTAAACAAACCTAACCCTAGAGTTTAGATATTTTGTCTGGTTCTGGATTGGGATGGAATCCTCATCGTCAGATCGTGAAGACACGGATCGATGACGTGGGAGAAATCTACGGTCCAGATGTGTGGCTTGTGTGTTTGTTGTGGTTCTCACGAAAAAATAGAGATATCGCGACGGATTACGAATATGCCTTGGAGATTCCATTATTTTTACAATACTGCCACCCAGTCATTATTTATTTTCTGTCTATTTACATTTTATTATTAAGAATTTATTATAAATTTTTATTACATTAATTATGCTACACTTTATTTTCTTACAGTGTTTTGATAACATCGTGTAAGTAACTATAAATAAATATAATTAAATATTTAATAAATATTTATTTTAAATATAAAAAATTTAAATTATAATTAAGATAATTATTGAATTATAACAGAATATTTAATTATTATATGTACAAAAAATTATATTATTAAACCAAAAATAAATTATTTTGTTATTAAATCTAAATTAACGTATAATAAAAAATTGAATTAAATGAGTTTATACAAAAAAAAAAAGAATTATTAAATAGTTAATTTGATACTAATATTGAATTATTTTTTTCAAATTTATATTTATTCAAAAATATAAACATTAAAGTTTTTTCTCAAAACCACATAAAATCGTATTATATTGATAGAACAAAATAAAAACTAAACATTAAAATTGAGATTTATTCTGTTGCATTGCACGAGCACCCTTCAAGTAATATACTAAAAGTTAACATGGATCACATTTTATATGAATAATTATGTAAAATTGTTATGCATGTATAAAAGTTAAAACAACGGCATGCAAACAACGTTTACATCAACATATAAATAACGCACGATTGAACATACATGATATAAGGTTTAATTAATCTATTATATCTGAATGAACAATCTAAGTAGATTGATTGTAGTGTACTCAACTAAATACAAAGGTACCCCTATGATATATATATATATATATATATATATATATATATATATATATATATATATATAT